GAGTCCTTTAGAAATACTTATAAGAAAGGCCCTTTTGGACTTGTACCTCTCTGTAACAATGAAAATATAATATTACAACACAAAAAAGAATGGTAATAGGAGAAAATTAGATGTGATACAGATAAGGTCACTATTATAAGACATAAAGTACTTATGTAAATGATTATGTTTTGCATTTGCATTGCAAGAAAGTCACCAGTACTTATAACATACGCGATACTATGTTAAGCAAATTGAAAATTATAATTTTGCTAAAAATGGACTCCATATAAAAAACTAGCGCCGCTCATTTCCATAACAATATAAAAAATGTTTATTAGCTGACGGTGCCGTCACAGCCATTGTGATCATCGGCTTTATGGCCTTACATTATTTACTTGTATTAACGATCAAATTGTATTAAACTTAAGCATTCATTTTATGGACGTCACCGTTTTTCGCTGTTTGGTGGAGCTATCATCTCTAGAATATATTTGATTAATTGAAACTTTATTAAAATGTGGGCGGACAGATGATAAATACGTCTTGAGCTGCCTCGTAATATCAAGAATCGTCATTCTTAATCCCAACTCTTAACCTCGTCCTGAGACCTCTGATCTCGAAGGAACATCCGGACCAGCAGACGTACATATGTACATGCCAATATTGATTCGGCCATTTACCCTGATCAAGAATATATGTATATATATAATTCATATGGTTGGAAATGCTTTCATTTTTTAGCTACACATATTATACCTTTTTATTCCCGTTACTCGTAGAGTAAAAGGGTATACTAGATTCGTTGAAAAGTATGTAACAGGAAGAAGGAAGCGTTTCCGACCCTATAAGGTATATATATATATATTCTTGATCAGGATGAATAGCGAAGACGATTGTGCCATGTCCGTCTGTCTGTCCGTCTGTCTGTATGAACGCTGAGATCTCAGGAACTATAAGAGATGAAAAGTTAAGATTAACCATGAAGATTCTTGAGGTCCCTACGCAGCGCATGTTTATTACAGCATCCTGCCACGCGCACTCTAACGCCCACAAATCGCAAAAAACTAAACTAAAATCGTTGAATTCTCTGGAACTATTAGAGCTAGAAAGTGGAAATTCAGAATGTATAATCTTTAGATACCAGCGCAACTTATAGTAGTAATACTATCCGACACCCACCCATACGCTACTTATGAAGAAATTAAGGTTATTAGGCGTCACATGGGCAATACTATGGGCATCATCAGTTACTCAACATGCTTTCTCTGACGATGGGTGGTGAATTTCCACTAGCAAAATTAATATTTTAAAATTGTGTAAAACAGTAACGGGTATCTTATAGTCGCGGCACTCGACTATAGCATTTCCTCTTATTTTACGTGTAAACGGGTATAAGCACATACATATTCATTCTTTTACAAGATAAAATCTCCACCACTTAATATCTACCAGTGTCACAATAATAACTCATGTACAAGTTAACACAATCGCGAAACTACAAGTTAACGTAATCAAGAAAACAGTTTTTGTGCAGTAATACGGCGAGCTTTAGCAATAAGAATATTCATGTACTTAGTTCTCGAACGTAGATGGAGGTTTAGAGATAAGATCAATGCTGTATACTCATTAGTCGATTTTTGGATATCATAAGCACCGGTCATCGCCGCGCAAGCCAGCAATAAAAGTCAACTCACGCAGACCACGATGTTAATAATATAATCAATCGACCACGCTAGCCAGCGGATCGAATAAATAAACCTTAATCCTAAACAACAAATACAAACCCTCCTAACTGGCGTCCAAACGGATATTCGAACCTACGATAATTAACTAATTATAAATAAATTAAAAACCGATAACAACTGGAGTGTCCCGAGAGATCAACAACTGGAGTATCCAGAGGCAACAACAACTGTAGCAGCCAGAGACAACAACACCGGCAGCAACGACTCTAACCTCAACAATAACTTATTTTTTCACTTTTTCATATTAATACATAAGACCCAATTTACCATATATTAGATTGTCAAAAAAGTCTTGCGGTATTTTCGCTAGTTGGCGCTGAAAGCGCGTAGTTCTTGTTTTATTCGTCGCATCAGGTCGTGCTATACCTTTTTGGAAAGCTTATTTCACGCGCTAACACGTGTTTGATTGTCTTTTCTTTTAAGTCGTTCGTGAGTTATAGCGTCGCAATCATGGAGCAAAATAAAGAGAAAATACGGCATATTTTACAGTACTACCACGATAAAGGCAAAATTGCATCTCAAGCTGTCAATAAAATTTGTGCAGTTTATGGACCCGATACAGTTTCCATTTCCACCGCACAACGATGGTATCAACGTTTTCGTTCTGGTGTAGAGGTGGCCGAAGATGCGCCACGCAGGCCTGTCGTCGAAAATTGCAATAAAATCGCTGAATTGGTCGAAAGAGACCGGCATAGTAACAGCCGTAGCATCGGTCAAGAGCTGGGCATGAGTCATCAAACCGTTATAAACCATTTGAAGAAGCTTGGAGTCACTAAGAAGCTCGATGCACGGGTGCCACACGAATTGACGCAAAAAAACATCTTTGACCGTATCGACGCATGCGAATCGCTTCTAAATCGCAACAAAATCGACCCGTTTTTGAAGAGTATGGTGATTGGCGATGAAGAGTGGGTCATTTACGATAGCATAAGACGCAAACGGTCGTGGTCGAAAAGCGGTGAAGCGGCCCAGACGGTGGCCAAGCCTGGATTGACGGCCAGGAAGGTTCTTCCGTGTGACCTTGACCTTAAGTCGGGGTTTCACCAAATCATGCTTGCGGAAAGGGATAGAGAAAAAACAGCATTTTCGGTTGGAAACGGAAAATATGAGTTTTCCGGACTACCGTTTGGCCTAAAAAATGCACCAAGTATATTTCAACGTGCCATAGATGATGTCCTTAGAGACCACATAGGAAAGTCCTGTTATGTCTATGTTGACGATGTCATAATATTTTCCAAAGGAATGGAGGACCACGTAAATGACATTGTTTGGGTACTGGATAGACTGTTTGAGGCCAACATGAGGGTTCACTATTAAACACATTGTTAGGTATAATTTCTGTTCTAAGTATAATTCTTCACTTTTCGGACAATACGTCTCTCCTCGTGGTCATTAAAAATTTTGTTCGGTGCATCACGGCCCTTATCTGCAACCCTATTTTCGCATAAACGTCTTTGGGTTATGTATGGGTTTGTACTAGCGCTTGAGGCAACCATTTCCTGGGTTTTCCCATCCTTAAACGAAAACTTATAAATATGCTTTTGTTAATATATTTTTACTAGTATTAAGAAAAAAATGGGTTTAAAAGTCGCAGTTTAGAGATATTTACAATTAAAGTGCTTGCACGAAATAAGCTTGTGCGTCAGAATTGCCCTATTTTTAAGTTTTTGTATAAAAAATTCTTTCGTTTTTTAAGTTAGTTAAAACGTTTGTTATTATTTAAATAAAATTAAATTTAAATTATTTTCATATCTCTGTTGGTTTAGTAGCAGTATCAAATTTAAACTTCGGCCATGTGAGGCCTTATAACCTAAATTTCTTCATAAATACCGAGATAATGTTCCGATTTGAAAAATCTTTGGTAAATCGATAGATATTAACAGAAATAATTTATACAAGGTCAAACAAAGGCATTCATAATATTATTATAGACGCCACAGTGTTTCGCGGTTTATGGGCGTTAGAGTGGGCGTGGCTGGATAAAAACTCGTGGGAAGTTGCAGTGGCAACCCTTAAATACGTATTCTTAAGCTTTCTTAACTTTCTAGCTCTTTTAGTTCCCGAGATTTTTGAATTTTAGGTTTTTCGGGTTTTGTGGGCGTGGCTAGATGGAAAAGAAAAACAATTCGCACTTGGGGCATCATAAAAATCTACATGCTCAATCCGAACTTTCTATCACTTATAGTTATCGAGATATCAGGTTTTCTTGAAAATGCGAAAACCGTCTTTTGAGCTTGGTGGGCGTATGGGTGGGTGTGGCCAGATAATAGTACTACTAAGAGATGCGCTGGCATCCAAAGATTATGCATACTGAATTTCAACTTTCTAGCTCTAATAGTTCCCGAGATTTAAGCAATTTTAGTTTTTCGTGGGCGTTAGAGTGGGCGTGGCAGGATGCTGTAATAAACTTGCACTGTTCCGGGATCTCAAGAATCTTTATAATTAATCTCCACTTTGTATCTGCTATAGTTCCTGAGATCTCAGCGTTCATACGGACGGACGGACAGAGGGACATGGCTCAATCGACTTCGCTATTGATCATATCTAGTATACCCTTTTACTCTACGAGTAACGGGTATAAAAAAACTGTGTTAACTTCAATAAGGCTATCTATTGTCACCAACGACCGAAACGCACGGATCATCCAATTGAACTACCATTCCAATGCCCAAACGCAGTACCAAGTACGAGATTTATTACAACTAAAATACCAGATAAGTAGTTTCAAATGGATCCCCCATGAAGTCGACATTGCATGTTTTAAGAAGACTGATGACAGCCTTCGTCTTAGAAAGGGAGGAGTTAACACAATCACGCAACTTCAAGTTAACGTAATCAAGAAAACAGTTCTTGTGCAGTAATAGGGCGAGCTTTAGCATTAAGAATATTCCCGTGCTTAGATCTTTAGAGATAAGATCAATGCTGTACTCATTAGCCGATTTTTGGATATCATAAGCGCCGGTCATCGCCGCGCAAGCCAGCAATAAACGTCAGACAGCGGATCGAATAAATAAACTTTAATCCTAAACAACAAATACAAACCCTCCTAACTTATCTACATACATATGTATGTACATCTATACATTTTACCGGCTTCGAATTTCCCAATCCAGACTTAATCGTTAACCTACATATATTTTATAGAACTCCTTCATCAAACTATAATAGGATTCTAAAAATGTTGAGCTAGGCCTACCAGTAAACAAACCAGTTTCTATTGCCACGCTCTACGTTTTAAACTATTATTTGTAATTTCTTTACCTCTTACCTTAGTTCTCTTGCCAACTGAGAAGACTCGTTTAAGGTTCCGTTTCGGTCGAATCAGTCTCTTTCTGAGCGTTGGTTTTACAAGATTACCACATGCGATCGCGAGGTTGTGACTAAAGCCTTCTCTTGTATACATATATTGTGTGTGTATGTTTGCATCAAACAATGTCTGCCTCTCAAGCCCAATATGGCCTTTCGTTTTGAGATTTGGTCATAAATTAAAAATAAAAACAATTACTATGAAAATATAATAAACAAAAATGGTGCAACAAATCAATGAAAAGTTTGCCAAATGTATACGCAGAAAAGTACGAATATAAAATAAATCAAAAATAGAGAGCTTAAATTTTTAAAGAAGCAAGAAGTTTGGTCGCTTCAAACAACTAAATCTACACGTATTTACTCACTTTTCACCTATATATTTTATATGTGTTATATTAAAATTTACAAATAAAGCATTTACTCTCCCTGTTTCATAATCTAAAAAGTGAGTATTCAAACTTATAGATATGTATGTACATACATATACATACATATGTATTTGCTTCACCAGCTTTCTTTTTAAACATGATTTGTTATTTATTGTGGGAAATTCATAATATGGTTTTGTACATTTGTACATACTTATGTATGTACTTAGATATGTTTGTGTATACAGTAACATATGCATGTGCATATATGTATGTACCTTACATTAACATTACTATCAATTAATATGAATATATTTAACCAAGAAATGTTTAAATTGTTAACATGAAAATATAATTCCTAATCGTCACAAGATCTAAAAATTATTGGTCCTGTAATGGTATCACGGCATTCATACGTACATATGTACATATGTATGTATGTATGTACGTCGAAAAGAAATTCACATCTAACTAGCATAATTAAAAGAAATGTATAAGTGTTTTGTGTGAACTTAGATACATATGTCTGTATGTATGTACATACATACATATAATGGCGTGCAAGTCTGAGTTAATATTTGCAGCTATAGAATTTAGGCCCACATAATAAAAAAGTTATTGGTAAAGTTAATGTACTCAAATTTTTTGTGTTTATTCTTCAAATATTACAAAATTCCTAAGCAAAATATAACAAAATATTCTAACTGGTCTCATTGAGAAATAAAAAACAAAACAAACTCGCATGTACTTAGTTATGCTCACTTTGAACTTTTCTACAAATCTTCAATGGAAAGCTTAATTGCAGATTTTTACCGTTTTTCTCTGAGAAGCGTAACGTATCTTATGTATTAAAATTATGAAATTGTCAAGAGACGTAGCAAGATTAAGTAGTAAACCTAACTGAAAATGGATGTTCGACACGAATAATATCCAAAGAGTGTAAAATCAGCCAATCAGCATTTATTCGTTTGCAAAAAAGGCGTAACGATGTCCATCATTCCCATCAGACAGTGGACAGCGTGTCGAGCAATTGGATACGTCTCAGAAGTGAAAAATAAGGTTTGCAGCTGTGCACTAAGAGAAAAAAATTCTTCACTCATTGTTGTTTTTTTTATGTTTAAAATATATGATCAAAATGTATATCTTTATTTTGAGATATTACATTTTAATTTCCGTTACATATATCTCGAGATATTAAAAAAGAAGCTAGAAAGTCATGGGTGTAAAAATAAATTATGTGCTGCCCATATGGGAATTTAAAGTAAATATATCAAGAAATTTGAACACATTGAAATAAAATTAAATAAATGACTTCGAATACAAAAGTATTAAATTTCATTTCGCGGGTCGACAACGTTAATTATGCGTTCAACTTAAACTTTTTGCTTGCGCCTATAAACTTTAGAATCAGTGGAAATATAAATATTAGGCATGTAGTTTTTTGTGATACCCCCAATGCGAATTTTTTTTTCTCGGCATCCGAATTTTCTGGACATAATGGTACGAAATCATTAGATAGTCTGTCTTCTTCAAAAAAATCAAACTCTTGTGTGCCGCAGATCACTAGTTCCCTTCTCCCTCCCACTTCTTACCTTCAGAACACTGAAGTGTCACCCTTGGGTGATGGTAGGAAACAATTAGATAGTTTGTCAGCTTCAAGGCTCCTGGCTCCTACAGAGCCAATTTCCATTTGCATCAACCCGCCCGATACATTGCAGGGGAATTCCGTGCGCGGATTACCGGCATGCATTGGCAGTCTAGGATTAGAACCTCACCAAAGCCCTTAAAGGTAATCCCATCTGAGAAACATATATTCGTTTTCCGGCTTTTCGATGATACGTCTGAGTCAGGCGTATTTGCTTACATACAAGCCAGAACGAAAGCCGACATCAAGTTGGAAGACATAACTAAATTTAAATATCACTATAATAGGAAAGATTTAATTTCTATAGACTCTAAACTCGTATCCGAGGAGATTAATCTTCAATTCGGGGATATCGAATTAATTTGTGTTTAACTTTTGCTTCCAGGTAGGTTTTATTTATCACGTGTTCTTACATCCCTCCCAAACGAAAATAGTTTAGCTTTAACTCCCTCCTCCCTCCCTCCCTCCGCTTAGTAACTCTCAATACCCTGTTTAAAGCTCAGTGTCATAAAATTTACACAGGATCCGAAATAATTTTATAATTTTGTTAAGACTAAGCACTAAATCACTAACGTTTCAAGACACAACAGCGAGAACTGATCAGGCAATAGCCGATATGTTCGCCAATTTTTTCAAGCCACATATTGTGCTTCGATAACCCCTAGGCAGCCTTATGTTAATGGTGTACCGGCAGTAACGCGACTTTTTCTGTCTAGGAGTGGTATTTTTAAAGATCTTCAGAGTGTTAAGCCCACCTTTTCCCCAGCCTCCGACTGCGGCCCGGCTATGTGCTTACGTACTGCGCGTCTTCCATGTGCAATCCTATTCTCAAACTGTTTAATCTTTTATCATTCCTTAACACAAGAAAGGGAAAATTTCGGATGCTGGTCATTATAGAGGGATCTCCAAATTATGAGCAATTCCAAAACCCTTTGAGAAAATCATTGTGCCCCATTTCAGTAATATCTCCTTATAAGCATGGTTTTATGAAGCGAGGGTCTACGACAACAAACTTATTAGAATTAACATCTTACGTGGTTCCCGAAAATGTCTAACAGAAATAAGTTGTACAAGGTCAAACCAAGGCACTCATAATAATATAATAGACGCCACAGTTTTCCGCGGTTTGTGGGCGTTAGAGTGAGCGTGGCCGGATGCAACTTCGTGGCAAGTTTTAGAGGCACCTCTTAAATAAGTGTTCCTAATCAAAATTTTGTAGCTCTTATAGTTTCCGAGATTTTTACATTTTTGGTTTTTCGGGTTTTATGGGCGTGGCTTGAGTGGCAATTCGCATTGGGAGCATCATAAAAACCTACATGCTTAATCCAAACTTTCTATCTCTTATAGTTACCGAGATATCAGCTTTTCTAGAAAATCCGAAAACCGTTTTTTAAACCTTGTGGGCGTATGGGTGGGTGTGGCCGGATAGTAGTACCACTTTAAGATGCGCTGGCATCTAAAGATTATACTTTTTGAATTTCAACTTTCTAGCTCCAATAGTTCCTGAGATTTGAGCTATTTTAGTTTTTTGCGATTTGTGGGCGTTAGAGTGAGCGTGACAGGATGCTAAAAAAAATAAACTTGCGCTGCGTAGGGACCTGCAGAATCTTCATGCTTAATCTTAACTTTGTATCTCTTATAGTTCCTGAGATCTCAGCGTTCATACGGACAGACTTACGCTTCCTTCTACCTGTTACATACTTTTCAACGAATCTAGTATATTCTTTTACTCCACGAGTCACGGGTAAAAAAATTGTATCAGGTGTGAAAGATACAGGCAAATTTCAGCAGAGCAAGTTATTGGAATTATACCGAGGCATAGAATTACAATTTCCAATCTATTTCTATATACGGAGCTATACTATGCCCTAGGTTCCGAGAAAAAAAGTTGGAAATTAGATGATAAAAAGTAATTAAGAAAATGAATTTTTGTTTTAATAACTTTTACTTATTGTATCTACTCTTAATTTTGAGACTAACAGTATACTAAGACTGCATTCTGGTTGCGCGTCCCTCAAGTCGGTCGCTGGGTGGGTAAGTCATTGCGACGAAGACGTGATTGGTTGCTCAACCTTGTTAGACCTCTCGCAAGGTGGTTAGGGTGCAACGATAGCTTGGTAAAGAACTTTTCCTTTTGTTATGCGATGACTTCTTTGACTGGTAGAATGTTTAAGTCGCGGTGTATGTTTAGTTGCGAACGTACTACGGTGCCCCGGTGGTCCATCGAGCCGGATCTTCTGCGATTGAATTCAAGTTTATTTGTGTATAATAAAAGACAAACTAGCCGCTGTTATTGGTAATGATCTCTGTAATCGGGCAATTCAACAATATCGTGCCTGCAAGGGGAAAAATTACTCGTACCCTTAAGAGTGCTTTGGAGTTTTCGCAGGTATGTGATAGTGTGGAAACATTGCAACTGAAGCTGGATCGTCTTGTAGCCACCTTCAACCACTTTATGGACCTCTCCGATGATTATGTTGCATATAACCAGGAGGAGGGATATGAAGACCCTGGATTGGATATACCTGAGTACGAGGACAAGTTTTACAGAGTGCATTCCATCTTCATTAAAGCCATAAACGAGATGGGTGGTCAAGATCATGGACAAGACCAGTCGAACATTTTGCAATGAAGTACAGTGGCACGTCTATTTGAGGGACAAAACCAACTTCTGGGACGAATGCGTACCTCATCGGGAGCAGCTGATTTAAGGTTTGAAAAAATTTGAATTCCCACATTTTCTGGCAAATACGAGGATTGGAGCCAATTTAGTGATTTGTTCTTAAGCTTTAAGCTTTCCAAGTGCAAAAATTTTCATTTTCTGAAATCTTATTTAGATGGGTAAGCACTTTCCTTAATTAAACATATTGCCGTCAGTAATGATAACTACCAAGATGCGTGGGAAAAATTGGAAAATCGTTTTAACAAGAAAACGATAATCGCTCGATCATTTGTTCAGAATTTTCTATCGTTGCCAACCGCTAACAATTTAAATATCGCAGAGTAACGTACGGTAATTGACTATGCCGACGAATGTATTCGAGGCCTACACGCGCTGAACTGTGACAGCCGCGATGTGTGGCTAATTTATTTTTTGATATCCAAATTAGGACCCTAAATCAAACGAGCTTGGGCAAACTGTAGTGTGACGTCCAAGAAAGACGTCACCATAAATGATCTATTCGCTTTTCTTTTTGCTCATTGTGATACTTTGGAGTCTTGTCAAAATATACACGTAATGCAACCCCCAGGACCAGCCCGGAGTAGAAGCCGCCAAGCTGCTTATCATGCAAGTGGATCAAATCAGTCTTCTCGCGACTGTATACATTGTCAAGGACAGTACAATATATACGCATTTACTGCATTCAATGTCGTAAATCGCTGCCAGGGATACTAAGCTTTGTTTTAAGTGCCTAAGTCGATCTCATCAAG